AGAATTATGGATAAAACTCTTCCTCTGCTGTATGGACGAATATGCAAGCGACTCTTGCAAAGATGGTGTTGATCAACTGATGCTGTCACAACGAGACATGGGGAATATGGAATAAAGGTGGTTAGAAACCACAGGTTCATGGGCATTTTTTCCCTGTCCACTCTGAGGGGGGTCTTGAGAGTCATTCTGTAGATATGCAATGGTGGTCCGAACCTGCAGAGTGGCCTGAATCGAAAGACCCAACATCAAACTACCTGGGGCCATATTCCAAGCGTGAAAGTACAGTGAAACACTGAAAATCACCTTTTCTCTGCACTCAAATTGTCTGTCAAAGTCTATCTATGTATAGTGTCAGACTTAGTAGCCAGGGATCCCAAAAGTTTCCAGAAATTTAAGAGTTCAACCAAGAATTGCATAAAACCTGAAAATACCTTAGATTGTCCAACACAAAAGGTACATGGACACAGCATCAAACTTCTTCAGATATGACAACCAAAGTGGAAGCGGGGATAGCACCACGTGGTTCTTACCGGCATCTACAACCCTATCAAGTGGCCACCTAAACTTCTCTTTGGATCCAATTACTGTACGTCATCGCGAATCTGTCGTGGCAAAAATATTCCTGCTGTCATGTGTATCGTCTCTGACACAAACACCCACATATGTCTCAGACGCAAACACCTCTATAACGTGGGTGTCCCGACCCCTCCTCACCCTATTTTTCACCTTGCCCTTTGCACCCCGTTGCAATCCACACCTCTCCGCCCCCTATTGCCGCCCTCTAGGCCCCTGTCTGGCCCTATTCTTTACGGGTTGGGCAGGACACCCATGTTTCTACACCCATGTTTCTTGCCGTATATGTTGCCTAAAGTATTGACATGTTGTTTTTTGATCTGACATGAATGCCAAACCATGCCTGCAAAACCCACAGCAGAAGCAGCATTACACTCATGCGCGCGGACACACTTGAGATAATGCGTACTGACACCACTTGCGGGTTTGTCACGCGCCAATGTGAGTAAAGACCTAAGGAAGCAGGACGGGTATAAGTAAGGTGGTCTGAACATCTTCGAAACATGTCAAGAGTCTCAACGAAAGCGACAAGTGCATGTCTACAGAGCTCAAAACGGAGCGATGGCCGGTCAGCTTGTTCTAGTGACAACGGGACCAATGAGAAATTCTCTGGTAAAACAGCAGGTACGCCGAGTTGATAAGACTCAGTACCCCATGATTGTGGTAGCTTCATTGAGTGCAGTCCCACAATCATGCCGCACTCCCCTGCTAAAAGAGTTGAGAAGCAAAAGCAAATCTAAAATCAACCGATTCCCTGTGTCTATATAATAAGGGCTTGAGCCCTTTGAGGCGGATGCCCTAGAGCGTTCTTTGTATATATACTGTAATTATATATATATATATGAAATATATGTGACATAATATATTATATATACATCATATATATATATTATATACATATGGGGTTGACCCCCCCATTTCTTGGAGGTAATGGGCGCCATCATAAACCAATGAATGTTCTTGTTCTGAGGTACCTTGACCCAAAAGTATTCAAGGCGCGGCTGAAGGAGGCAAACTCTTCTGCTCGCATCAATCGACGCAAATGTTTTACTGCATATGGGCGTGTGATTGCGTGTGTATCTCCGTACACTCCAGTTTCGTTCACCAGGGGGTTGGTAAGGTGAAAGTCAGCTTCGGCTTCCGCAAAGCTGCTCCACCAAGACCGCAATGGATCCTCACTGTGGTTGGATGCTCTTGGTAACTGACCCAAAACTGATTCCCATGGCTCAGTGTATGTAAAAAGCAGTTGGTGCCATCGTTTGTGGTCCGCTCCTATTGCCTACAAAAGGTCAATTGATAGGTGGACCCCCTGCGTATGTTCATTCACGGGCAAGAATGAGGCGCGCACACGTGCTTTACTGAATGCAGAGCAGTGTCAATATACCTGATTTGCTCCTGAGATCGATCGCCAAGTCTGTGAGGAAATTGTAGTTTTCTGCATCATTATCATAGTGCGTTCGTAGCTCCAGATTCAACGGCCCGCAGTTACCCGGAAGTGGTGACGCTGCTTCTGGTTACTGTACAAATGAAGTGTGGGTGTGCGCTGACATTGCTCTGTAGCTTTGCACTGTCGTGTGAATGGTGCTTGGTTGCCTTGTTCAGCCCAGTTTGTTCAGCCCTTGTTCATACATCAAAGAGGGACAGGAGGGACAGGTGACCAAAGAGTGCCAATGTTGCGATGTTCTGGGGGTGGGATATGGTGTGCCAGAACAGTTCAAAACAAAGAACGGGTCCAGAACTGTGCAACCCTGAGACAATCATCGTCCAAGCATGCTTGCTGGCACTCGTGACACAAACGAACATCAGCTCATTCGGGAGAACCTTGATCAATTTGCTCTCTCCAGCAGAGCCGAAATATGCCGTCGAGTCCACTGGGCTTTTCATCAAGACCTGCACTTGAAAAAGAAACTGAAACCGGCACTTTGCAGGGTTTCAGACATTCCATTCAAACAGTTTGTTCCGAAGACAAATGAACTGATTCAACTGACAACAGCTGCTTTGCGAAGGCTTGCGGCACAAGCCATGGAACTTTGGCTTTGAACGAGCCTTGGTTTCGGCAAAGATGTAGAGCTCAGTGATGTGGCGATTCTTCGACATTGCCGTGGCCAGTGCCTGGGACAGGAGGCGAAACTGAAGTCGGTGGTTGGCCCATGAATGCCCATTGGTGGGTTCGTTGGCTTGCTTGCTTGCTTGCTTGCTTGGTTGCTTGCTTGCTTGGTTG